AGTATATAACCCTTCCTTTTTCTCTTTCTCATTTCAAGATGTACTCTAGTTTGTTTGCTTGGTTTTTGTTTGTTTTTTTTTTTTTGTTTGTTTGTTTTGCTTTGAAAAGCTTGACTATGATTTTTAAAAGATTTAAGATTGAAAAAAAAGATTTAAGATTAAAAATGCCTTTTTTTTTCTTTGTTTTCCTACATCATGAGTCAGCAAAGTTAAGCCTTTTAGCAAATTTGGGGATTTTCCAGTCATTATCTCCTCAGAGTCTCCTCTCCTTAGATAATACCTAAAGATGCTATCATTTAACAGGTCCCTGAGACTCTGCTCAATTCTTTTCCAGTTTTTTTTCTTCTCTTAAAACATTAGACAATCTCCACTGATCTATCTTCAAGTTCATGGTTTCTTTTCTCTGTCATCTCCATTCTAATATTAATTCCCTCCAGTGAATATTTTCAAATAGTTTTATTTTTCCAGCTCTCCAATATCTGTATGATCCTTTTGTATTGTTTCTATTTCTGTGCATCTTTTCTATTTCTAGCAAACATTTCCTTTTATATCTTTGAGAATAGTTATAATAGATGTATAAAATCCTTATCTCTTGAATCTAATCATCTAGGAAATCTTAAAGTATGGTCTACACTGATGATTCTTTCCTTAAAGCTTGGGTTGAAAAATGATAGCCCACAGGCCAAATCCATCCCACATCCTGTTTTTGTATGGCTTTTTTGTTTTGTTTTGTTTTGTTTTGTTTTTTTGTATGGCCCATGAGCTAAAAATGGTTTCTCATATTTTTTGAAGGATCAGTAAAAAAAAAAAAATTATAATCCCATATATGTATATTCTACAGAGACTCTATGTTGTCCATAAAACTTAAAATATGGGCAGCCCCAGTGGCTCAGTGGTATAGTGCCACCTTCAGCCCAGGGCGTGATCCTGGAGATCTGGGATCAAGTCCCACATCGGGCTCCCCACATGGAGCCTGCTTCTCCCTCTGCCTTGTCTCTGCCTCTCTCTCTCTCTCTCTCTCTCTCTCTCTCTCATGAATAAATAAAATCTTTAAAAAATAAAAAAAAACTAAAATATTTTGTATCAAGCCTTTTATTTCTTTTAAAGATTTTATTTATTTATTTGACAATAAGAGAAAGAGAGGGGATCCCTGGGTGGCGCAGCGGTTTGGCGCCTGCCTTTGGCTCAGGGCGCGATCCTGGAGACCCGGGGTCGAATCCCATATTGGGCTCCCGGTGCATGGAGCCTGCTTCTCCCTCTGCCTGTGTCTCTGCCTCTCTCTCTCTCTCTGTGACTATCATAAATAAATAAATTTTAAAAAAAATAAGAGAAAGAGAGCAAGTAGAGCAGCAGACAGAGTGAGAGGGAGAAGCAGGCTCCCAGCTGAGCAGCCAGCCCTATGTAGGGCTCCATCTCAGGACCCTGGGATCATGACCTGAGCCGAAGGCAGATGCAGATGCTTAACTTAAGATTGAGCTACCAGCCCCCTTCCCCTATCAAGCCCTTTAGAGAAAAAGTTAGCCAACCCCTACTTTGGAGAATGGGTCAGAATTTCCTGGTTCTTCTGTCAGGCAATTTTGAATTATCATCTGTACATCCTAAAATATTAGGTTGTAGACATACTAGATTCTCAGGGCACCTGGGTGGCTCAGTTAAGTGTCTCTTGGTTTCAGCTCAGCTTGTGATCTCATGGGTCATATGATCGAACCCCACGTGGGATCCACACTCAACAAGGAGTGTGCTTCTCTCCTTCTCCTTTTCCTCTGCTCCTCCTCCTGCTCACACAGGTGTTTTATCTCTGTCTCTCAAATAAATAAATCTTTAAAAAGAAACACTAGTATTGCTATGAACACCAAGTTTTGTTGTTGTTGTTTTATTGTAGTAAAATATACATAACACAACATTTACCATTTTAGCCAATTTTTAAGTGTACAATTCATTGCATCAAATACACTCAGTATTATGCAAGCATAGCCACTACCAATCTCCAGAACTATTTCATCATCCCAAATAGAAATCCTGCTAAACACTCCCTCCTCTCCTTCATCCACCAGTAATCATCATTCTACTTTCTTCTCCATGAATTTGACATGTCTATGTACTTCAAATAAATAAAATCACACCATAGTTGTCCATTTATGCGTGGCCATTTCCCTGAGCATAATGTTTCCAAGATGAAAATCAAAACTATTTATGAAACAAAAATGCACATTTTATAAATAAAAACAACTCAAGTTTAACACTGTAATCAAACAGCACCAACATCATCAATAACACATACAAAGCACCTTTTGCTGGAATCACTTCATTCATTCCTCACAACTGCCCTGTGAGGTAGGCTTTACAGATGAAAGAACCAGGTTCAGAGAAGACATAAGTCACTTGCTCAAGGACAGGCAGCTTGTAATATAAACATGCATACACAGGTCTTTCAACTCCATCCCCAAACTCCTGGTCCTTTTTATTTTTATTTTTTAAGATTTCATTTATTTGAGAGAGAGAGAGCATGTGCACAGGAGCAGGTGGGAGTGGGTAGACAGAGGGAGAGGAAGAAGCAAGACTCCCCACTGAGAGAGAGCCTGATATGAGATGGGTCCCAGGACCTCATGACCAAAGCTAAAGACAGATGCTTAAGCAACTGAGTCACCCAGGTGCCCCACTCCCAATCCTTTTTAATTGACAAGATCAGCGGCCTCCTAGCCCACTACCACTCCACTTGTAAGGATGGTCAGGAGAGACCCGTGTGGTAGGGAGAGCCAGAGAAGGCTCCAAAGCCAAAGAAGATCTCGAGACAGAACTTGATACGCTAGGGGCACCTGGGTGGCTCAGTGTGTGAGCATCCACCTTTGGCTCAGGTTGTGATCCTGGGATCTTGGGATCAAGCCCCACATCGGGCTCCCTCTGGGGAGCCTGCTTCTCCCTCTGCCTATGTCTCTACCTCTCTCTCTCTCTCTCTCTCTCTCTGTGTGTGTGTGTCTCTCATGAATAATAAATAAAATCTTAAAAAAAAAAAAAAAAGAACCTGATAAAACTAGCTTTTGCTAGAAAGAAACACAACAGGCATTCCAGGCATCATCATGGCTACCAGGAGCCTGGGTGCAGATGAGCCTGGGTACTGGGCAAGGAGGAAAGAAGAGGGTATGGATAGGAACAGTGTGTATCCTAATCAAATTTGAGAAGAGCTTAGAAGAATCTTACCTTTCATTCCCATCTATAATGGATTATCTTAAACAAGGATCTTTATTCATTTTTTTTTTTTGCTTTACCAGAGTATAGAGTTAAATAAAATTTCAGCTAAAAGCTACATGTGCCCCTAGAACTTCCTAGTTGGCATCAACTACTAGTCAGCACCGTCTTTTTCCACTGCATCCCAGACTGAGGCAGGATGTGGAAGGGATGAATATCACTTCACACACATTACAGCTAAAATCCTGACTGAGACCAAGTAAGCACTAAATGAATTTGATTCATTTATTCGATAACTTATGCCATAGGGTACCTATGCCCTTAAGATTAATTTCCACAGAGCAGAAAATAATGAAAGCAAAAAATAGCTTCAGTTGTAACTGTTACCTCAACCATAATTTTCAAGAATTTGTTTCATCTTTTCCCAAAAAACATACTTATTTTTATTTTATAGAGGAAACCATCCTTAGGAAGAAAACTTATGATTTTGATCACTGTTTGGGGGCAACACAGCTGAAGATCTAAAGACATTTAGTTTAACAATCACTGTTATCAAAGGAAGTTTAAAAAAATTGTTTATTACAAAAATAAGAAGAAATAATGACAGGCATGAAGAAAAGATTTGGTGGATAATGGTGGATATCAACCATTCATAAGCAGAAAAATCATAATTTGGTATTAGTAAAACAGTATCTCTATCAGGATGAAATAAGAAAGACTTTTGGACACCTCTTTATATCAACTGATGATACAGCAAAATAGTGCCAACAGATGAATCAGTGAAAAAGAAAAAGTTAAACTATCTTAGTTAGCCTCAGTGCTGGAAATCCAGTAACTTCTCATATCTGAACACCAAACACACCAAGGTTCATTTTCCCCCTAAAAGAAGTTATCTTTGTCATAAACAGAATATAATTCATTAAAAAGAAATTTCTTAACCTTTAATCCCCTTGTAATTGAAAACTGGAGGAAAGCATTTTAGTACACACTTAATTTTCTACACCAAAAAAAAATCTTTTTAATAAAACTATTTTAAAAGGAAAGTTTAGACTGTAAATAGACTGGCACTCAGAATCTAAACACGAAGATTCACATTTCAACCCTAAGCTATTTATGATAAACACCTATTTAAGGAACAAAAATAATACTTCCATGTCATTTTATTGATGTAGGATAAAGATGCAGGATACACAGCTAAGGCTATTATTTATGCCAAATACAAATCAGGTCCTTGGACCAAGCAGGAATTATATTCAGACAGAACCACCCAAAAATAAAATATGCCTTCCTAAATATTTTTCTTTTTAGGAATGTCCAGTTTTGCTTGCTTCCTCTACTTAAGATGGTCCTACTCATTTGTTCCCAGGTAAGCTGACTATAAAGGGAGCCATCAAGCAATTGTTAGGAACAATCATGGTCAGAAAACAAACGGAAATATAACCTGAAAAATAATAATAGTCCCTAATTTCAATTTATAACTCACAACCCCAACCGCTTCCCCCTCCTAAAAAATGCAGAAATTTTTCAAATCAAGATTAAGAGCTGGTGAAATTAAGGGAAAGGCCCCTCCATGGTATTATCTAAGCGCTAAAAATGAGGGACAGGAACAAATCTGTACTTGGTATTATGGCGCCACCCACTGGCTATAAGGCCTCACCGCAGATATGAAACCCAGACATTACAAAAAAAGAGATTCTTGGAGGAGGAAGTTGAAAACAGTACTAATATTCTAATTCATTACAGCATCAGGAACTTCTACCAAAAAAGAACCATCCATATTACTTATTACCACAAAGAAATAAAGAAACTGTCAAATATATTCGCAAGAGTAAATTTTATTACTTTCGAAATGCAAGGCTACAATCTCCAAAAGCAAGGATTTAAATCTTAGAGTCAAAACAATTAACATATAAAATGTCATTTCAGCCCTGTCACTGAATATATAAACACAGTGTTAAGCAGAAGATGCACACTTGCATTTCATGAGTAAGAAAGAAATGATAATATTCATAATACATTTCAATGTTAATACAATGGAGTAAGTCCCACTTCCACCTTTACCAGAGAGGTAACAAGACATAAAAAATTAAAAAAAAAAAAGTCCCAAAAACTGAACTGAAAAACATAGTTTCTCAAAAAGTCCTAAAAGAGACCATTCAGGTAAACCAGCATAAATGGTTTCTTTAAAACAGCACCTTTATAGTCTAAAATATATTTGATACATTAATACAATCTCCATTTCATCCAAATGACATCATTTCTGTCTTTCCAAATCATTCTTTTCTCAAATGTTAGCATTCTATATATCTCATCATAGAAAATATTTGAGAGTCATTTCTCTTGTACAGCATTTCCTGGTAACACTCAGAATCACACATGAAGTCTTGACATCCTTTCTATAGTCCATAGGACCCTGCTGAACGTTGATCTCTAAGACCACACCTCAGAATTCCTCTACAGATAAGACCTGGTCTTCCAATTCAGAATTCATGAATATGCTCCAGGCAGTCAGTATAGGCTTCAAGTATCTTTGGCTTAATGATAATTATCATGTGGTCTGCAAAGCCAAGGTCTTTGCTTGCTCAGAGCTGGTTGATTGCAGATAAGAATATGATGAGAAAAGTCACATTCCCGCAGATATAAACTGCAAACACCACCTTTTTAAAAGCATGACCCTGGAAGGAAAATTGAGATGTGAAAGAAAGAAACTACTATCATTGAAGTTTATGTCACTAAATAAGAAAAGGAGGACTTACTTCTGCTTCAGCTACAGTGAATGACTGAAGGATCTGAATTCTAGCATCATCCAATATTTCAACTGTCAAGAACAACAACATACGTTTATAAGGCCCACGAATATGCCAGTGAACTAACTCTCAAAAAAAAAAAAAAAAGCCCTGATGTGTAGCCTTTGTTCATCTCCAGCTGTATATTCTCTTACAAGCTACCAAATGTTGCAAACTTCCTAAACACATAAGGCTCTCACAAACTGGGACAAGCTGGCTATAGATTTAAAATTTGTCAAGGGACTAAAAATATGCCTCTTCTCCTGGTCAATAAACACCACTAGAAAGTTTGGGTAAAATAAGTTCTTCCTATCTAGCTTGCCTAGTTAGCTAGCTATGTATTATGTAGATAGCAACCTAAGTGTGAGTACACAGTAAGAAGTTCATCAAATTGGCAAAATCTGTCTGCAGTTTTGCCCTGTGTTGACTTTGGGCATCTCTTCTTCCTCCACTTCTGGGTTCTCTCGGTTCCATGCATTCAGGTTTCTCAGTGTGTACTGGTTCGAAGTCAGACCAGCATGCAAAATATAAAGTATTTATTAAAAAAAGACTTATTGGACACCTGGGTGGCTCAGCAGTTGGGTGCCTGCCTTCGGCTCAAGTCATGATCCCAGGATCTGGGATCGAGTCCTGCATCAGACTCCCTGCGAGGAGCCTACTTCTCCCTCTGCCTAGGTCTCTGCCTCTCTCTCTCAGTCTGCGTCTCTCATGAATAAATAAATAAATCTTAAAAAAAATGACTTCTTCCCTAAAACCTAAAATAGTCCCTTTTTTTAATTCACAAATTCTAATACTAATGAGTATAAAAAACAGGGGCAAAATATTTCCATTAATGCTAACACTAACCAATCATCACAGACATTTTTACTGAGCTACCAGGTAAGAGTCAACCACCAGGGGCAGCCCGGGTGGCTCAGAGGTTTAGTGCCACCTTCAGCCCAAGGTGTGACCCTGGGGAACTGGGATGGAGTCCCACATTGGGCTCCCTGCATGGAGCCTGCTTCTCCCTCTGCCTGTGTCTTTGCCTCTGTGTGAGTGTGTGTTTCTCATGAATAAATAAATAAAATCTTAAAAAAGAAAAAAAGAGTCAACTATCAGTTTGTAGAAACTAATTACATTCCTGGGGTTTGTATATCTGTGCCCATACTCCAAAAGTGATTCTACGTAACATGGCTTTTTGAGTAGGTTACCTTTTCGAGAAAGTCGGTAAGCATGTATTTCCAGAATAATCTCTGTCCCAACATGCCAGGCTACAAATCCAATCATTACATAGGTTTTCCATGGGCCAGGAAGATCCAGTCCTGGTAAATCCATTCCCAGGAACATTGCTGCCACTACATTTATAAGAAAAATATATATTTAAATGTAGTCACCCCCAAGGGAGGTAATTATGTATGTACATGTGTGTGTATTATATCAAATAAAACATAGTAAAAGAGTTTATGAGATGAATTAGATTAATATTTAAGACTAAATAGTTAACTTAGTCTTTTTTTAATTATAAGACTAGAAACAGTAAATGGAAATTATAATTATGATCTATTAATTGTTTAATAAGAGACATTCAAAATATATTGATAACCATACTTGACTTTTGAAAATCACTTTTCCTTGAAGATACCATCCCCATGGAAATGACTTGCAGACACTGGGCTGGGATGCTCCCAGCCCATCTCACCCCAACTCACAAATGACCCTCAACTTGAGCATTTGGCCATTAGCACAGCTTATTCAGTTGGCAAAGGCAAATGCTAAAAAAAAAAAAGGAGTCTTAGAAGGAAAGTTTTAAAGCCATTTCAAAAATCTTAGACTTCAAACTGAAATAATGACTTAAATAATCACCTCTAGAAATTACTTTCTGGATCTCAATGTTTAAGGCTGATCTCTCCTCAACAACCAATTACTCCGATTACTAATACATCTAAAAATCATTTAAGCCAAATTACCACCTGCAATATAAACAACCAGCAATTATATATGAATAAGTGGCATCACAATTACTTACCTGCTATTATTCTAGCAGCTGTGCCCATACTCCAATGAGTCCAGTTAAAAATGTGCCTCCTACCAAATGAAGAACCAGTCAAAAGTGATAGAACTACAATTAATTCCCAAGAGGATAAAAAGCGTGCAATTTCCCTTATTGCCTAGGAATTAGATATCTGAAATACATTTTAAAACCCTTTAAAGTAAATATAATTTACCACTGAATTTTATAAGATACAAAGTGTTTTCACTTAGAAAGGAATTAGTTTGCCAAATAATGATATTCACATTAAGACCACTTATATATAAAAGCTGTAAGTACCTTGGGTCATGTAAAGGTGGCCTGAAGGCTGCCAAAAGAGGCTGAAGAACTGCTAAAATCATCACTATACAACCAAGGTATGGGTGATAACCTGCATACTGAACAAAGATACATCATTTTAATGGCCTCAATCTCACCCACCAATTTAAATCCTCAAATTAAAAATAATACACACAGATGATGTATTCTTTGTGTTTTTCTGTGGCTTTAAACATTTACTAATAACAATAGGCCCCATTCACTGATCACCCTCTGTATACCAGATACATACTCTAGATACAGTATTACTAATGCTGTCTATAATGCTTGACAGGTAACAATATCCCACTTTTAAAACAGAGAACTGAGGCTTAGAGATATCAAGTAGTGTATCCAGTGCCACACACAGTGTGTAAATGATTGTGGTGAAATTCATACAGAGTGCTGCCTCTCCCCCATCAGGATGTTACATGATCACCAACACCAGTACAGCCCACCTAGGGCTCGTTAGTATCCTCATGTCAAGAGCAATCACCCTAATGTACAGTAATTTTGTTTAGACCTCTGTGTTTCCTTGAGCTGAAGGTTCTATGTAATTCCTTGTAACTCAAATGCTTAACAGAGCCTTAGTCACTCACTAAATGTTGATTAAATGAATAACCCATACAGCCATTCGTTAAAATCTTATCTCCTCTGTTCAGAATGGAGGTCAAACCTGAGATAAAAAACATCAACAAGGTATCTCAACACTTTTAGCTCCACTCCTCTCTTAGAGATGCTGCATGACTACTCAAAACAGCAGATAGTTGGGTTAGGCCACTTAGCACAATTATTCCACTTAAAAACTTAAGAAAGGGACTAAGGAGATGTTCTAACCCTTGACATGCTTAGATGGAGGACTATTTCAGTCTGTTGTCACTGACTGTCATGCTTCGTTAGGCTCTAAAATCTGTGATCTAGAACAAGGGTATAGTGGTTTCTAAGACATGATAGGAAGCTTTGGTAAAGAGGAACAATAATCTGACAAAAGAATATTACAAAAACACTTTCGAGCCATGGACTCAGTTATACACAGATAAATTATAAGCAGGACCATGGAGAGGGAAAGTGCTTCTATCTCAAAAAACCACAATAACAACAGCAATGAAATTCTTATATGTGCTTAGAATGCACAGGAAACTAGCCTAAGTGCTTTCAGCTAATTAACTCTCAAGTCACAGAGAGCCTATGATGTAGCTACTATACTCTCCCCTTTATACAATCCTATTCATAAACTGCAAAGACTGCAAACTACAAAGCTTACAAAACAAGCATTACCCTTAGGGCACCTGGGTGGCTCAGTAGGTTGACCATCTGCCATTGGCTCAGGTCACGATCCTGGGGTCCCTGGATTGAGCCCTGAGTCCTACACTGGGCTCCCCACTCAATGAGTGGGGAGTCTGCTTCTGCCCCTGCCCCTGTTCACACTGTCTCTATCTCTCTCTCTCAAATAAATATATAAAATCTTTATTTTTTTTTAAGATTTTATTTATTTATTCATGAGAAACACACACACACACACAGAGGCAAAGACACAGGCAGAGGGAGAAGCAGGCTCCATGCAGGGAGCCTTATGCAGGACTCGATCCTAGGACTCCAGGATCACGCCCTGGACCAAAGGTAGGTGCTAAACCACTGAGCCACCCAGAGATCCCCTAAATAAAAGCTTTAAAAAAAGAAATTACCCTTGTCCCAAATATCTGCATAAAATATAGTTCTGATGGATAGTTCCTATCAGAAAATCTTCATCAAAAAAAAAAAAAGAAAATCTTCATTTGCTTTATTTAAAAAAAAAAAGGTTAACCAATCTAGACACTACCTAAGCAGGCAAGAGGTTTCCTGGTGACTCAAGATTCATCAATCTTGCCTTTATATCAACAGCCTGAACTGAAATAATAAATTTTGATATCAAATTCTGACTGGCTATAAAATTGGAAAAATGCCATGGAAGCACAGGCTCTGACCCTAGATACATTATTCTCAGTAAGTCTTATTCATTCATTCAACATTTACTGAGGACCTACTATGTACCAGAATCTGCTCTGGGTGCTTAAGATACACCAGTAAACATAACAGCAAATATCTTCACTCTGACGTTAGCTTAGAGGCAATTGTAATATTAGTCAGAGAAAATCACTTACAGTGTTCACGTTCCTTAGACATCACACTTTGAATTTTCACCACCCCATAGTGAGAAAACTCACCCAAGCTATGTGGAGTATCCATAACATTTAATGCAGCCTAAAAATATATTTCATTACCAAGTAATCTGCAATCACATCCTCGCTCTACCTCTGGCCCCCCAGCCATATGGAATAGTTGCCAGATGATTAAAAAAGGGAAGAAAGAGAGACACATGCAGAAATATCTTTTAACCTCTTCTCATTTGAGAAGGAAACAGCAATTTCCTCTGACATCAAAATCAATTTATATAAAAACATTCTGTTTAAGAGATACTTACCGAACTCCAGCCTCCTCTGTAAATAAAAGGCAGAACAAAAGCAATGCAGGTGAGGGCAGTTGTAGTGAGCATAAGCATCCGATGCACCTGTGAGGGTGAAATGACATGGTGAAAAGACAGTTAACCAGGTAAGAGAAAGGAGTTGGTGAGACTGTGGCGAGAAGATCCTGGGGTGGGATTCACTGGAGGCACACATTTGATGGGCATCTAATCACCATCTGCGGTGAGTTAAAAAAAAAAAAAAAACTTAATAAATGATTGAACTTTAATTATTTTTTTAAAGATTTTATTTACTTATTCATGAGAGATACAGAGAAAGACAAAGGCAGAGACACAGGCAGAGGGAGAAGCAGGCTCCTTGCAGGGAGCCTGATGTGGGACTCGATGTGAGACTCGATCCCAGGACTCCAGGATCACGCCCTGGGCCCAAGGCAGACGCTAAACCACTGAGCCACCCAGAAATCCCAATGATTGAACTTTAAAGAAAACTCTAAGTTGCCATCCCCATCATTCAAAAGCATTTGCCAAGACTTCACCTGCACAGAGCAGCAGGTATGGCTATTTCACACACAGAGCACACCTACCTGCCAAAAGTCTTTCATTTCCTTCCTTTATGATGTTCCACGACCAAGCACAGTGCTGTACCAGATACAATGAGACAGCAAGGAAACAGAAAATACTGTTTCCTGAGGAGCTTAGGATACAAGTGAGTAGATGAGAGAAACATAAGAAATGTCAACTCATTGTCTAAATCATGAGAGTGGAATGGCACTGTGATTTGGCTATGCCAGGATAAAAAGTACAAAGAAAAACTATCTCAGGGAAGGAGGACATATAATCATTCTATATATTACACTACATATAGCAACATCAGAGTTTTAAAGGCGGTAGAGAATTTGGGGCGCCTCGGTGGTGCAGTCGGTTAAGCATCTGCCTTCAGCTCATGGTCCTGGAATCCAGCCCTGCATCAGGCTGGGCTCCCTGCTCAGCAAGGAGCCTGCTTCTCCCTCTCCCTCTCCCTCTCCCTCTCCCTCTCCCTCTCCCTCTCCCTCTCCCTCTGCCAGCTGCTCTGCCTGCTTGGACTCTCTCTCTCTCTCTCTCTGTCAAATAATTAATAAATAAATATTTAATAAAGAAAGAAATGCAATAGAGAATTTGAATTGGTAAAATGTAGATGCAAAGAATTTTCCAATTGGGAATATCCACACAAGCAGATGAGAGAGAGACAGAGACAGAGAACAAGAGAAAGAAAAAGTGAGACAAGAGAAAAAGAGAGAAACCAAAGGCAAAGACAGAGATGAGCAAGGCACATAGCAGTAGTGAGAACAAATAAAATACATTGACCCTGCAAGAGCCGATATTGAAAACCAGGTCAGATAAAGTAAGTCTTAAAGGCTACAAATTTATATAAAGTCTCAAGAATACCCTTATAAAGTTAAAAGTGTTTCAATAAACGGTATTTTTTCAAAAGCAGACATGTACATTCTATTTCAACACATACTCATTGGTCTTCCACTATATGTGCAACTGTCTACACCCCATGACATGTAAAAGACAAGGTTTGTTTTGCTTTGTTTTGAGGGGTGCTTATTGACTCCTATCAAGAGACTGTCTCCTCATCCCATGCAAAGGGACAGCATGAAAAGAAACACTTCTAGCTCCTCTTCCCACCCACAGAGGAGATAGATGATCGTGATCAGTGACCCAGAGACAGTCCAACATTCATTGGCATCAACCAGAGGACAGACCCTTGTTTGGAAATGCATGCATTAACCCTCATTATTTCTTTCTTCTGCTCTCCATCCTCCTTGACCTATCTGCACTCAGTGAGTGCAGTGAATGAATCCTCTTCCAGGCTCTACCCTCAGCCAGTGGACATGTAAGTCAGGATCTTTTGGGTCCCAAAGTCTATGTTACAAAGGGGTGCACATGGCTCTGAGACATTCTCCAATCCAGCCTGAGCCTCATAAAGCTGTCTCTATTTTGACCACCATCAAGTATCCTATGTCTCTTCTCAAACAGTTAGGAAACCAAAGGGCAAAATGAAGAAATTATAAGGATTCCACAACTACAACTATAACCACCAAAAAAAAAAAAAAAAGAAGGAAAAGAAAGCCACATATTACCTGTTTTCATCTTGCAGCATTCAAATAATATGGAAGTTGCATTAAACTTTTTCTACCACCTACCTGAAACCAAGCTGCTTGACCAAGGAAGGCCTTTGACCAAACAGATTTGAAGAACCGAGCAACGAGCACACCTATGCTCACGGTAGTCATCCAGGCCACAAACATTAAGGCACCTGCAGGTGAGAAAATAGAATGACTGACATCACAAACCAAGCTGTTTCGTATATGGCCAAGCCAAATACTCAGAACATAGAAAACAAATAATGAAATACACTGAATGCATGTAAGCATAACCTAAAAGCACCCCATATACCATAGCTTATACCCACCACCAGTACTACTTCTAAAAGTTAACACTTCTGTCCCTCCTATCATGTGCCAGGCGCTGTCTCCAAGTGCTTGACATGTATTACTCTAATTGGTCTTTATGACAATCCCATTCAGTAGTTACAATTATTTTTCTAGTTTTGCGTGATGGAGAAACTATGGAAGAGAGAAGTTAAATAACTTGCCTATATTTACAAAGTTGGGTTTCAAACCCAGTCTGGCTTCAGCAATGGTGCTCTTAACCATGACACTAATACAGCCCTTCTGCAGTTATGTGAGCATCTTTTCTCTTCCCATTCCAAAAACAATAAAAACAAATAGGCACATTTACATGCGAAATCCAATTACTGTCATGCTGGAGCTACTAGTAGAAGCAAATTACCAATAATAAAGTGATTTTCAAGCTTAACTATGATGACATTTATTGAAACACTACTGGAAGGAATAACTCTAGAGAATATAAAGGAAATATACCAAGTAAGGAAAGATCTCCCCCATACTAGTATACACTGCGCTATTCCCCTACTTTTATTTTTTTAAAAGATTTTATTTATTTATTCATGAGAGACACACAGAGAGAGAAAGACAGAGACACAGGCAGAGGGAGAAGCAGGCTCCATGCAGGGAGCCCGATGCAGGACTCAACCCCTGGGACTCTAGGACCATGCCCTGGGCCAAAGGCAGGTGCTAAACTGCTGAGCCACCCAGGGATCCATATTCTCCTACTTTTAAATCCCATCTTTTCAACAATAAACTGGGCTACTTTTCAAATGGAATCAACTTTCATCTGTAGAACCAGAGCATGTTAGAGCCTTGTTTTTAGGCTATGGCTCAATGTGGTTAATTTCATCATTTTAATCATTTAATCATTTCATGATTTAACGTCATCATATATTTAGCACTCAGTAATTTGTATACCCTCAAATACTTATATCCATTCTTCAATGAAACTCTATCTTTGAAACCAAACTACCGTTAAACAATCAAAATCACAAAGCACTCTTCTATTACAAGCTTTTATTTTAATAAATGTCCTAATTAAGATCTCACAAAAATTAAATTGATTAAATCTGGGTTAATCACCTCTGGCTATAGTTAGAAATAACTGGGGCACTCTTTAAAAAAATAATTTTAAAAAAATAGGGCAGCCCCAGTGGCGCAGTGGTTTAGTGCCACCTGCAGCCGGGGGTATGATCCTGGAGACCGGGGATCGAGTCCCACATCGGGCTCCCTGCAGGGGGCCTGCTTCTCCCTCTGCCTGTGTCTCTGTCTCTCTCTCTCCCTCTCTCTCTCTCTCTCTCTCTCGCTCTGTGTCTCTCATGAATAAATAAAAAATGAAATCTTTTAAAAAATAAAATAAATAAAAACTACAGATGCCTTAAAAACTCCATTAGTGATTTTAATGTATAGCCAGGGTTAAAACCACTGAATTATCCCTACTTTCCATCTTTAACACAAACTACCAAACATTAAGATAGATACTGCTACCTGCAAATGTTAATATTTAAACATAGAAGATTTATGAACATTTGCTAAATTATGCCCACCACCATTCCTAACCCAACCAGCACTGAGTCATCAGGTAAATTTATTCCACAAAGTAATAATGAGATTACACATGTAACTTACCATGAGTCTTCAGAAGGAATAAAGAACGGGATCCTCCCACGTTCTTTGGATAGCCTGTCACATTATGTTTTTCATATGTAATCAAAGGTTGCCGCAAATGCTTATAAATTCTACCTGAAATTTTAAAAAATGAAAATGAAGAATTACTTCCTCAATAATTTTTAAGGTAATAAAAAATAAATATCAGAGATATCATTCATATGCAAAAGCCACATAAATGTATATTCAAGTATAAACAGTCTTCTTGAAAAAAGTTAAAGAAATAATTTAGCCAAAAAAAAAAAGAAAGAAAGAAATAATTTAGCCAATCAAGAGATGAATCAAAATGAGGACAAAGAATGGACAAGTTACAGTGAAAGAGCTGAAGTATACAAGAGACCAAACACTCAAGTCAAACTGATCACTGATAATATCAAAAATCACTGAAAATGTCAAATATAATTCTTCAAAGATACTACATACTTTTAAAAATCTGGAATCCTATTGTACCTGGACAAAATGGGTGGGTAGAAAACAACAAAAACATTTTGATGCTACATTATTTGGCATATGGTCAATTTGGACTGGCTTTGACTAACAAATCAAAATCCCAAGTAACAGTGACATAAACAAATTGAGGATGTGTTATTATTTATTATCAATAGATTAAGTCTGTGAATGTGTAGAATTATTTTAGTACGTGAGTATGTATGCGTGGTTGTACATTCTGGGAATCTATCCTACAGAAACACTCCCCTTTTAACCAAAGATAAATGCACAAAAATATCTACAAAAAGTTGTGGACTTTTTATGCTGGACGAAAAAAAAAATATATATATATATAGTAAGCAAGCTAAATGTCCATCATTAGGAGAAAAAAATCATGGAACACACATTATTTTTAGAATACAACACAAGTGTCAAGAAGAATAAAAAGAATTAAGAAATTTGACATAACAGATATAAAGGAATCTTTACTCCAATGAAATAAGTACTACACCACAGACTACATCTCAATAATTTCCAAAAAAGAAATACATACAGGATACAGATAATGGTTACATTATCTATCCAAAATGCAACAAAACTAAAAATTAACAATAAAAAAACCAGGAAAAAATGATCCACCTAGATATTTATAAAACTACTCTTCTAAACATTCCTGATGTTAAATACGGAATCAAAATTTAAATTGAAAAAAAAATTTAAATTGCAAGTCTCAGGGATCCCTGGGTGGCTCAGTGGGTTGGTGCCTGCCTTCGGCCCAGGGTGTAATCCTGGAGTCCCAGGATTGAGTCCCACATCAGGCTTCCTGCATGGAGCCTGCTTCTCCCTCTGCCTGTGTCTCTGCCTCTATCTGTGTCTCTCATGAATAAATAAATAAAATCTAAAATAAATAAATAAAAATAAATTATAAGTCTTCTTTAAAATGAGTAACAATGAAGACACTTCATATCAAAACACGTGATGCAATCAAGGTGCTATTCAAAAGAAGTTTTTATCATTTAAAAAGCATTTCCTTTAAAAAAAAGTATTGAAGTAATCATTTAATTCAAAAGGTATTTACAACAACAAAATATAACCTAGGAAGTCAGAGAGGAAGATTGATAAAAATAAAGGTGGATTTGGGGCAGCTCTAGTGGCTTGGTGGTTTAGCGCCACCTTCAGCCCAGGGCATGATCCTGGAGACCAGGGATCAGGTCCCATGTCGGGCTCCCTGCATGGAGCCTGCTTCTCCCTCTGCCTGTGTCTCTGCCTCTCTGTCTCTCTGTGTCTGTCATGAATAAATAAAATCTTTAAAAAAATTTTTAAAAATAAAGGTGGATTTACAAACTAGTAAGTCAAAAAATCAAGGCTATTATATAAAAGACCAATGAAATCAACTAAGTTTTTGGCAAGTCAGACCACAAGATAAAAAGAAAGAATACAAAGAGTATTAGATGAATTTTTTTTTTTTTTAATGATACTCACAGAGAGAGGGAGAGGCAGAGTCACAGGCAGAGGGAGAAGCAGGCTCCATGCACGGGGAGCCCGATGTGGGATTCGATCCCGGGTCTCCAGGATCGCGCCCTGGGCCAAAGGCAGGCGCCAAACCGCTGCGCCACCCAGGGATCCCCACAAAGAGTATTAGAAACAAAAAAGGGTGACACAGTTGCTGATATAGAAGATACTGTTTAAAATTTTATGAAAATGCTACATACAATTTTAAGGAAGCCAATAACTTTCCTGATGGAGGAACAGAAAACTAGCTGAGGGCAAAGCATGAGCCTGAGGTAGCACACGGACAAGTCCTTGAAACAGGCAAAGGGACCTTCCTCTACAGACTCAATTGCCTCAATGTTAATACTTTGCTAAGAGCAAAAGGCAATCTTAGCCTGACGCCCAGGATCCTGTAAGTCTACTTAAACATGTAAAGATTCCTTTAGAAATGTCCTCTAACTCTAAACCCCCAAGATACATGTTGGCAATCATCCCCCAAGAACATGGCCCACCAGTATACATCTGAAGGGTCTCATGACTCAGGTTTTATTAGACAGTAATAAGTGACCTTTTCCTAACAATAGCTAGCCCCCTCAAGAGCCTGGATACCTTGCTTCCAAAATTCCTTAGAGAGTACACTATCCTCAACCCCCTGCCCCCCAACTCCCAGATATAATCAGCCACCCCTCACAGGCCTGGGGCAGCAGCTCTTTCTGCCCACCAGTCGTGTCCCCATGTTTTAATTAAAACCACCATTTTACACCATTTTAAAGATGTTTCAAGAATTCTTTCTTGCTCGTGGACTCCTGACCTCACCCCACCAAACCTCACCTATATCCCAAAACTTCATCATTTCCTATACACCAACAAACTTAGAAAATGTAAGAAAAATAATCCCATTCACAAGAGTTTGTATTAGAAATCTACAAAATATATAGAAACAAAGTAACAAAAAATATATGAACCTATATGAAGACATGAAGAAAACCACCAGATTTTAACCAGCTTAATATCCAACATATTCCTGGATAAAAAGACTCACTATTGCAAAGATGTCAATTATTCCTCAAATTAATCTAACATTTAATTACAATTCCAATCACAGCTCCAGTAGGATTTTTAATGGAATCTGACAGTCATTTCTAAAGTTTGTCTGGAAGAACAGATACACAACTAAGAGGCAAGAATTTCTAAAAAAGGAAACCAAGAGGGGAATCATGCTCTATCAAAATTCATAATTTATTATAAAGCTACAGTAATTCAACTGGTACAGTACTAGATTAATGAAAGAATAAACTAGAAATAGTTTGATTTGCTGATAGATGTTTGGTATACAATAATGAGGCTTTTAAAGCAGCAGAGATAAAATGAACTATTCAAAAAATGGTGTTAGAACAACTGTTATTTTAGAAATACTATTATATCATGACTTGTTTATAACAGAGAAGATCAGAGCGAAAGCAGCAAACAAGAAAAGTTCTATGTAATAGATACCTAGAGAAGAGAGTCAAGAAGAAAGAGACAGTAAGATCAGAAATTATACTGAATTAGCAGAGTGGTGGTGACAAAAACCAGACCACATTCCCAATGCCTGAGAGGTAAATTGGAAGAAAGTGTTTTTAAATTCTGATTCACTGCAGACCCATGAGCTAAGCAAGAACTTAACCTTCATTAAAGCAGAAGTCCATTATAATTTTGGAATTTCTTTGTATGGCTCCATTATAATCCTGGATTTCTGCTCCAAGGCAGGTTGAGTTCATGTTTGGTACAAGGCTCTACAGTATTACATGACGTGTATTATGCCTAAATTGTTAAAATAACCAGTCGTGATAAACAGGGTTTCCAATTCATTAATTATTTAAATTGGTAGATTTCCTAATTGTGAATTACTTATTCACTCAAGTGAGTTCTATCATTTCACATGACTGCTTATCTCATGATAGGACAATGCCAGCATTCTGGGGGAAAAACAGCATTAGAAAAAGGTTTTAGGGATCCCTGGGTTGCGCAGCGGTTTGGCGCCTGCCTTTGGCGCAGGGCGCGATCCTGGAGGCCCGGATCGAATCCCACATGGGGCTCCCGGTGCATGGAGCCTGCTTCTCCCTCTGCCTGTGTCTCTGCCTCTCTCTCTCTCTCTCTCTGTGACTATCATAAATAAATAAAAATTAAAAAAAAAAAGAAAAAGGTTTTAAATGGATTTTACTGAAATTGGGTACATTTTACATTTTTTATATAGGTTATAGAGATTTTATGATTGCTTTGAAAAATAGTTCCAACCTCACAAAGTTTCACTGCTTTTAAGCGGAGTGCAATTTATAAATGGTCCACATACATATAACTAGATAACAGAAGATACAATGATTTATGTGGCAATTGTACTTTGTTCCCCAATACAAGGGTACTGGAAAGTTTATTCCCTGAAGCAGTAATGTCTAGGTTTGGGTGGTTTCTTTTTTTTTTTTTTTTTTTAGGTTTTGTTTTGCTTTTCTGCTTCACACTCCATCAGTTAAAAAAAAAAAAGAGTCTGTGCTCCAGATATATGTATAATTTAGTTAACGAACATATTAATATACCATTGTTTTAATGCATTATGACCACTGTAAAATATATTAAAGTAGAAAAATTTTGAGATGAGATCAAATAAATCTAAATAGAAGGTTCTAGTGTTATTAGACTCTCTTATAATGTATACACCTTATTTGGGAGAACCTTGTCCAAGAGTAGCAAGTTATTAAACCACAGTATACAAAACAATCACCTGGATGCTTGTTAAAAATGCAGATTCCAAGCATCAATGAGAGATTCAGTGGGTCTAAGATGGAGTTCAGGAATCTACATTTTTAGTAGTCACTCCAAGTGGATCTGAAGTAGGTTGTTTGAGGCCACACCTTGAGAAACACCACAAAACACAAGATGGAGATTCTTTCCACCATACCATCAGCATGGCAACACCAGCAGGAGAAGGAGATACAGCAATGCTCTACTCTGCACCTACATTATCCATGAACTAGATTTTTCTGGGGGAATATTGGAACTATCACTTAAAATATTGTTTCTATCAGAAAATACATTCCATTTTCTACAGTGCTGACCCAAGAAGAAATATTGGCATTGTCATACACCCGCCACACAGACACACAACTTATTATATAATAGAATTTATCCACTTAAATGAAATTGCTTTTCTTTTAAAGTATAAATTTTTTAAGTATCAAGTTTTTTTAAGATTTTGTTCACTTATACAAGAGAGAGAAAGAGCATGAGCAGGGAGGAGGGGCAGAAGGAGAGGGAGAAACAGACAGCCACTGAGCAGGGAGCCCAACGTAGGGCTCGATCTCAAGGCCCTGAGATCATGAACTGAGCTGAAGGCAGACGCTTAACCAACTGAGCCACCCAGGCGCCCCTAAATATCAAATTTCTTAAAGTATAAATGCAGACTGTTAAATCCCCTAGCAATTTAAGACATCCATTTGCATCAATAATCATGTATGGAGCACCTGTACCGGCACCAAAGGAAAGTTTGGTATGATGGAAAGGGCACGGCTTCTGTAAGTGGAACAGCCTGGGGTTTAATTTCTGACTCTGCTACTAGTTTGATTTGGAACAAGTTATTTAGCCTTTCTAAGTTCCAGTTTCCTTCTCTTAAATAGGCAATATAATGTTTATTTAAAAAGCCTCTGTGAAAAATGAGATATATGTAATGCACAGTAAGAGAGAGCTACAATAACAACAAACACAATGACCTATACTTGAGTGGCATCCATTTAAAAACACAAATATTTGACCCTTTTTCTCATTAAAAATTCAGTTCCTACATTTTCCATATTAACTACTTCGGTTCTGAAGTCAAAGAGTTTGGGTTCAAATTCCAGCTCTACCACTGACTTATCTGGGCAAATTACATAACGTAAACCTCAGTTTCCTCTCAGATGAAACAGGGATAGTAAGAGTATATATCTAAAATAATTTTTATGAAGATAAAAATGAATGATATAACTATAGTGCTTAGCCAGTGACTGGCACTCATTAAGCCCAGAGTAGTTTTTCTTCATTATTATCACATAACCAAGAAATGATTTTTAGGCTATATTTGCTATTGCTGGTGCAAACAAGAATGCATGCTTTGACTAAGATAGCTACACATATCATCTACAACTAAATCTACAAATATTCCCAAATTTTCTCATAACACTGAGTAGATACTTTATCCTGCTTCAAAACCATCGTCTTCCTTTTACCTATAATATAAAATCTAAATCACACAACAGAATATGCAAAATCTTTTCACAGTTTTACCTGCACATTTCTACTCTTCCTCTTCCTTTACCTCACCCCCTAACCTTCATTCCATATGCCCAGCTTCTCACCATTTTCAAAGGACGCTATATTCTCAAAGTTTGGGGGTGGTATTATCTCCCAAGAGAAGAGTCACTAAATAATACTTTGGCATTTCCTGTAGTTCTTCAAAATATCGTCAGCCAAGACCTTAAACAAAATCTTATAATCCTTATTAATATATGTGTTGCAGTTCCCACCAGGACAGCCTTCTTAAGGATAAATTAAATATTCAATCTCAAAAAACTACTGTAGGCTGCACCTGGCATCAGATTCACTTAGAGAGATGTGGGACAGCAGACACAGCAAACCTGCAGAACATTTAGAGGCATTTTCCTTCAATGGGAGATCCTGTAGCTCCTTATTCAGCTGTCCAGGAGCTACTCTCTCTACACTTCCTCCACCTCCCTGGACAAAGCTCAATGTCAAGGAGATGAGATTCACAGTGGACAGGTTATTCTGCAAAGGCCAATATCTCTTGCAACAGCCCTATAGTCACTGCTATAGGATCCCTGCCAGAGATCTGCAAATGTCACAACACTTAGAGAAGCCCAAAGATATGGCTCCTTACTTGGTATTTATAGTTCTTCCTGGTACAAGTGCAGTTTGCCAGCCAGAAGGCATTTTTATCATAAGCATGTCACCTTATAACACAGTTGACACTACTTTTATCTAGTTCCCCGGGAAACAAAATGAGAAGGTCAACCAAAGTCAAATTGTCAGGCAAAAATGGAAAAGGGTTTTGATAACTCTTTATTCACAAGTGTGTGTCTTTAAAAATGAGCAATTATAGTAGTCTCTCCTGGAAAGGTGGAAAAGGGAAGAAGAGAGAAGAAAAACTTTGAAAAGATAGTTTTCATCAATATACGTACCATTGTCAGCTGCACCATCTGCTAGAAATATGTAGTAGCTTGTGTTTAGATCAAATCTATTTTTAACCCCAGGAAGGGTAATGTTTCTTCTGAAAGAACACTGTATAACACCATCCGCCAGCCTCCAAGCCATATCCTCAAGAGCACCCTACAAACATACACAATGGGTCTTCTTAGCACTTTCCACAGATTTGCTAAAAATAAAATGTGACCAAAATCCTGACCTGCTCGATTTCCTTTCCCTAAGATCTTTTGTGCATGTTTTGTCTGCTGTATCATTGTTTTTCCACTTCCTCTCTGAAGACTATAAGAAATATTTTCTCCTAGTTTATTTGTCTTTATCCCACTTGGCAAAAATACTATTTTTACTGTGAGTCAGAACCCCACAAATCCTCTACCCAAGTTAGAAACTTTGTCAACTGTACTAACCCCAACTGGCCACTAACACACAATCAAAAACACTGAAGAAACAATTAGGAAGTAATACCCTAGTGACCAAAAGGCAACATGCAACAAGGGAGAAGTTCCAAGCCCATGGGAAAGCTCTGCAGAGGACATAAAGTCATTAGGTGATGGCTACTGCTCTGTCAGAGCTCACCTGCTTGTCAACTGCCATATGAAAAAAATATACTTCTCTACCAGAAATAGGCCATCTCTGGCACAGATGCCAAGAAGAGGCACTAAAGACACCTGTCCAAGGCACTGAACCATTCTCTATTATACATCTCCTCTTTCTCACTAGGCGAGAAACTCTGTGTCATTAAACTAAGCCTCTTCTTAAAAAATCTGTCTGTACACTTTTGAAAAGGAGCTGATTGCTCTGGCCATCTTAACCATTTTTTTCTAAGATGCAAAAAAAAAAAAAAGGATTTAGGTGACACTGGCAAGAATTCATCTTTTCCTACAAGAGAAACTTGTCTTGTGCTTTCCAAAGTGTAGAAAAGGGGAGATGGTAGTCAAAGGGTACAAAGAGACAGTTATATAGGATGACTAAGTCTAGAGATCTAACGTACAGCATGATGACTGCATTTAATAATAGTGAATTGTATCCTGGAAATTTGCTAAGAGAGTAAATTTCAGGTGCTCTCACCGCAAAAGAAAGGTAAGTATATGAGGATGCAACTGTAAGTAATCATTTCACTATGTATATGTCTATCAAAACATCATGGTGTATACCTTAAATACACACAATTTTGTTATATGATAATAAAATATATTTAATATATAGTGTTAAATAGAATATATTAATATGTTAAACATATAAATATAATAAAATTTATATTTTTATATATTATTTTTAAAATAAAATAGAGCACAGAAAAGTTTCTTCCAGATTATTGTAAGAAAGGAACCCTGCTGTGGCTCTGCTGCTAACTGAGGATGGGGAGCTACCTTGCAGCACGGTTATACCACTGTCGGCCACAGAGTCAAAAGGTAGACAAGCCAGGCAGAGCTTCCCAGAATTTTCACACCTACCCTGGAGTCCATCACAGGGTGACTTCGCCCCGTCAAGTGAGAAGGTTGTATGTGCACGGTCTGATCTTCACGAATACACAAATAAGCATCATCATCACCCTGAAAACATTTACAAATGAGAAAAATTCAAAGGAATTTCAACATTTTGTTTTTAAAAGCCTCCCTAAAGAAATCAAGTAGTATTTGATGCTTTTATTTATTTATTTATTTATTTATTTATTTATTTATTTATTTATTTATTTTATTTATGATAGTCACAGAGAGAGAGAGAGAGAGAGAGAGAGAGAGAGAGAGGCAGAGACACAGGCAGAGGGAGAAGCAGGCTCCATGCCGGGAGCTGATGCGGGACTCGATCCCGGGACTCCAGGATTGTGCCCTGGGCCAAAGGCAGGCGCTGAACCGCTGAGCCACCCAGGGATCCCCTATTTGATGCTTTTAAAACATAATTTACTGATTCAGTCCTAAATGGTCCTATGTATTTCAGAGAACTGGCTGTCCAATTCACCAGTTTTAAATAATTCTGCTATAATGAAGAAACAAACAAAAAGCAGAAACAGACCCATAAGTACAGAGAACAAATTTGATGGCTGCCAGAGAAGAGGAGGTAGGGGAATGGGCAAAATAAGCAAGAGGCAGTGGGAGATACAGGCTTCTAGCTATGGAATGAATAAGTAATGGGAACAAATGTTAGAGCACAGGAAATATAGTCAATGGTATTATAACACTGTTGTAACAGTAGCTACACCTGTGAGGAGCACAGTATGGTGTTTAAAATTGTCTAATCACAATGTTGTACACCTGAAACTAATGTAACATTGTGTGTCAACTATACATTATTCAATATAAATACATACATACATAATTTTGTTATAATACAAAAGCAACACAATTTCAATGTAAAAATAGATTAAAATAACACGTTTATATGCCCATAACTCGAACACCACTGTTAATGCTTTCATGTATATTCATACAAATCTATTTGTATTTATAGCTATTTTTTCATCCCAAATAGGAAAATACACAGTTCCATTACCTTTTTTCACCAAACTTATTGTGAACATTGTTTGTAAATAAATATCTGTGTCTTAAAATTTTTCATAACTATAAATGCACTGCACTATATTGGGTTGGGGGGGTAACTTTTAAGATAAGGACACCAATCAAATACTGCTAATATTGTACACACTCAATAGATTTACTATTACATATTAAGACCAACATGTCTAAACTTAAGGAGGTAGTTTTTTGTCAGTCTAATTTTTATCTGCCTTTTAATCTCCAATATTCCTTAGCTCTGAAAGTTAGAGCTAGCTTACTTAAAATGACTATCAGAAGACAGACTCTAGAGCAGCCTGGGTGGCTCAGCGGTTTAGCGCCACCTTCAACCCAAGGCGTGACCCTGGAGACCCGAGATCGAGTCCCACATCAGGCTACCTGCATGGAGCCTGCTTCTCCCTCGGCTTGTGTCTATGCCTCTGTGTGTGTGTGTGTGTGTGTGCGTGTGTGTGCGTGTGTGTGTGTGTGTCTCATGAATAAATAAATAAAATCTTTAAAAAAAGAAGAAGAAGAAGATAGACTCAATCTTCAAACTACATTTAAATGATGGTACAAAGAAATAAATCTGCATTTTAAATTACTGTACATAGTTTTCTTTCTTTCACCTATTCTAAACCATTCTCTATAAACTATCTAATAAGGTCTTTCATATGTTGTAGTCACTCAACTCCTTAAACAAAGCCAAGACTAAAAAAAAAATCAAAAAAAAAAAAAACAAAGCCAAGACTGACAAGTTATAATAAATTTTGCCACTAATCCCAATGATATTCTAACATATTTTAAATGTATTTTTAGAAGTTCCACTTTTGAGAACTCCCAAGTACATAACTTTAGCAAACCAATTATCCAGTTACTTCTATTCAAATCAGAATTAGCCCACCTCAAAAAATTTGAAGTCATCATGATTTAAAACAGGAATCAACAAACTATGACACACAGATCAAATTCAGTCTAATGCCTATTTTTGTACAGCCCACAGGCTAAGAAAGATGTTTACATATCTAAATAATTTTTTTAACTTATTGAAAGAGAAGAGCATGAGCAGAGGCAGAGGAAGAGGAAGAAGCAGATTCCCCCCTGAGCAAGGAGCACAATTCGGGGCTCAATCCAGAACCCTGAGATCATGACCTGAGCTGAAGGCAGAAACTTAACTGACTGAGCTACAAATTATCTTTTTAATTAAAAGAAGAATATGTCATCATGAGTAAAAATACGTGAAATCCAAATTTCAGTGTACACAAATAAAGTTTTATTGCAACACAGCCATACCTATTAATTTATGGATTGTCTCCTGCTGTTTTAGTACTACCACAACAGAGATGAGTATTTAGAACAAAGACCATGTGCTCACAAATTCTAAAGTGGTTACTATCTGGATGTTTACAGAAAAAGTTCACTGATCTCTAATTTAAACAAACACCATGTGTTTTCTAGACTATCGTCTATGAGGTATATACATTTTTTTAATTCAAAACAAATTTTAATATAACAAAACAGTGGATTCTGAGGCAAAATGATGACAAGTCAACTGCCATGCTAACTCATTGCAGACAGATGTCTCAAATATTGGAGAAAATGATGGGGGTGGAAAAGAAGTAACTCTCAGTTCTCACAACTCTACAGTGAAAAGTATGAGAAGGTGCAATTACAACCTTGGGTGCCAAGCAATTCTAGAAACCCCAAGTTTGGAGCATGGAAACACACATGTAAGAAGTTCCACCAAATTTCTGAATTGGACAGATCCTCTTTCTCCCATCTGTTCTTGAATCAAGCACTTAGAATGTACTCTGTATAGAAAATATTGTATGGATACTGTGGAAAAAATAAAGATGGCTAGATCTTCTTAGAATCACAGACTAGGGACGCCTGGGTGGCTCAGCGGTTGAGCGCCTGCCTTCAGCCCAGGGCATGGTCCTGGAGTCCCCGGATCAAGTCCCACAGAGGGCTCCAAAGCATGGAGTCTGCTTCTCTCTCTGCCTATGTCTCTGCCTTTCTCTGTGTCTCTCACGAATGAATAAATAAAATCTTAAAAAGAAAAAAAAAAGCAACAACCAAAGACTATGTTTTAAAGGAAGAGGCAGTTATAATAGTACATGAATTATGATAAAATAGGTTTAGACAAAGCACCATGGAAGCACAATTTATGAAGAGCCAAAAGGTTGAAAAAACTTATAAGAAAAGATAGGGGTGCCTGAATGGCTCCGTTGGTTAAACATCTGCCTTCAGCTCAGGTCATGATTCCAGGTTCTGGGATGGAGCCCCACATCAGCCTTCCTGCTCAGCAGGGAGTCTGGTTCTTCCTCTGTGTCTCACCCTACTTGTGCTCACGCACTCTCTCTCAAATAAATAAATAAAATCTTTAAAAAAAAAAGATAATAATTAACTAAGCCTTAGAAAATAAAAAATATTTATACATGGATAAGGTAGGGCTGAGATTCAGGGAAAAATTTCCCAAAAGGAGAAAATTCCATGACCAAACACATAGAAATATTAAAAAAAATGAAAATTTTAGGAAATAGGTCATTGTGTGAGCTATAACATATACAAAGTAAGGCTGAAATTACAACAAGGGCTTTGAAGAGTTTTGAAAGCCAGGCTAATGAAAAAACATTTTTTCTGTAACTACTAAGTTTACCAAAGGTTTTGGGGATAAAACTGAGATGATCTCAGTGGTAGCTTGGGAAGAAAAAAACAGTCAATGACTGTTGAAAGAAGAAATGAACAGGAGAAATCATGGGGCCAGGAGGACTAGTAAGGGGTCACTGTGGCAGTCTGGAAATGATAATAAAGGTGTAAGCCAAGCCAGAGATAGTGACAATGCAAATAAAGAGAATGTAGAAGTATGTCAAAGACAGAATCAAAAGTATCTGGAAGATTGGCAGCAGCAAACACATTAGCACTCAAATCTTGACTTCTAAACACTATTCCTATTAAAAGGAAACAGAATTCCTTTGAAAAATGATGAAATGTAAATAGTGTAAGATGAGTGGGCATCTTGTTACACCAGAAAGCAAGGACACGCCAAAAAACTAATGGAGATACATCAGAAGGGCGCGCACACACACACACACACACACACAAAGGCGTGAAGGGGCCATATTTGGGTCAATGTGAGCATCTAAAAGAAGAATGATGAGGCGCCTGGGTGGCTCAGATGGTTGAGCGTCTGCCTTGGGCTCAGATTGTGATCTCAGGGTCCTGGGATGGAGCCCTATGTCAGGCTACTTGCTCAGTAGAGAGTCTGCTTCTCCCTCTCCCTCAGTTCTCTCTCTTCTCTCTGCTATTCTTGCTCTCACTCTCTCTCAAATAAATAAATAAATTTTTTAAAAAAGATGAATGATAATGATAAACAATAACACAATAGACAAAAGGAATTAATTAGTCCATAGTGTTTCACCAAAAGGAAAAGGGAGGTGCAGAGGAAAGAAAGCTCTTCTTTTTAGAAGAACACCAGCTAATAAATAAACTAGAAAAATGATTAAATTAGAAAAATCACCACTTTGCAACCATAAATGTAACAACTGTTTCAGGAAAGGGACATAAATAGATGCTAAAATCATTTGGTAAAATGCTATTGAGGAACAGAATATTCATACACGCTCAAAGTATCACCCCAACAGATTGCTTATTAATTAAAAAGAGAAAACATGCCTTCACAATGGAAAAATCTGACAGATACCAGTGATCAAACATAAAACCACATCAATAATGGAATAATCTGATATTATGCTTCTCTTGATACGATGCCCTGAGATAGAAACAAACCCCTTAGGTAGTATTTGTGCCAAAAATCTTAACTTGAATCTACTGTATAAATTGTGGGACATTCTACAGAATTGGACTAAAAAAAAAATCTAAAAAATAGGGTGAATGATCAAAGAGATAACAAAGGTATTGAGGGATAAGTGATTGGATCTTGGGTCAAAATTTTTTTTTCAAAAAACAGCTAAAAGGGACTTTATGGGGACAACTGAGGTATTTGGAATATAGACTATATTGCATAAAATTATTAATCATTATTAAGTTTTCTCTATGTGGTCAAGATATCATGGTAATTATAGGAGCATATATCCTTGCTCTGAGGAGATACTTGCTAAAAAAAAATTTTAGAGATAAAATGTCATGATACATGTACAACATAGCTTTCAAATAGTTTTGGGGAAAAATGTGTCTTTTATATATACTCCATAAACACACACACACATACATGGTGGAAGGAGAGGGAGAAAATGTGGCAAGTATAAAGAACTTATTGGTGTTGGTTGCACTATTCTTTCAACTTTCATATAGGTTTAAAACTTCTCAAAACAAAAAGTTGGGGAGTGTTGGAGGAAGAAAGACCTGAAAGGGGAATAAAAGAGAAGAATCTAAGTCACAACCAAAATTCCCTGAACACCAAAGAATACAGTGGCTGCATAAACTGCCCAGGACAGTATCTGAAAAGAAGCAAGAAATCAATAATGGTAATTGTTTTTTTATTACTGTTTTTGATCACCAAGAGTGGAGAACACAAGAAACATGAGGAGGGAAGATATTAAGTGCAGTTTTATAGATGATGGTTTGTGTTGTCTAGGAACACTCATCTGGACAAGATCAGCTAACTACTGGAAATCCCAACATGAAGTACAAGAGAGGTCAGAGCTGGGAACTTTCTACCAGAGCATTGAGAAATTATGAATAGAGCAAGATGAGATTGGGCAGGAGAAGGAAGCCAACAGAAGCTAATATATAATATGTATTCTTGATATATTTTATATCATTTAACAAAGTATCTGAGATAGAGAATATGTGTATAATTTGAAATTTAGCTAAAATTCAGACATTAGCAAGTCATTGTTACCAAAAATATGGAAAATTATACTTTTCATCAATTTTAGTGATGAAGTCTAATACCAAGACAACTGTTATAATTAATTTATAAGTAAACTTGAAAAGGGTATCATTTAGCTGGTATTCATAACATCAGATACTTTCAGTATTTAAATTTACATTAGGTACTAAAAAGAAACAGCAGGTCACAAAAATATCCTAAAATGTTTTAAATAACCAAAAATAGAAATAACCACTTTAAAAATATTTTCTGAGGATGATTTATTTCCCTCAAATTAGACAAACAGGTGTACAGATGATTTTAATCATTAAGTAAGATTGCTCTGTAAATCAACTGCACCTGCATAATTAAGTCTTTTTTATAAACATTTTTTGATGAGTACGATACGAGAAACTTAAGATTTCTAAGTAAGATAAATATATCTTGAATTAAAGACAAAAGCTTTTGTGCCGTCTATGCCTACAACTCTGAAGAGAAATAACTGGTCTACTTGTGGCTTCCTCATCACCACACCCAGTACAGCCGTAGTGACTTTTCCTCTTGCTAACAGATTGTATATGACCAGAAAAAGAAAAATATGAGTTTACTACTGCATGAAGTTTGGCCATAAAGTGACTGCAGTGTTTTTTATTTAAGTGACTAGAACACATATCTAAATGAGCACTGTATGCTGGAGATAAACTACACACATATTCCAACAAGATTACCATTGCTAATCCTTGTGGGGCTCATCTTCAGAATTTCCTTCATAACCAGTTCCATCACATTCACACAAGCACTACCGCCATCTTTCTTTATTGCTTTATAGCCCCATTTTATTTTTAATTCAGGCTCATTATCCACCGTATGCACCAAACCTGGTTCATTTTGGCCAGAACTGCAAACACCCAAAAGGATATGCTATAAGTCTGATGAGAGTTACGATGGGAAATGGGGAAAATGTTTTGAACTACTGCAACATCATTCAATCAAGTATAAAATTTCCCGAGAAACAACTTTAAAAAAGAAAGAGTCATAATTTCTTATATGTTATTTTTAAAAGCCTATGACATATCTGGGGCACCTCAGTCCGTTAAGCATCGGACTCCTGATTTCAGCTCAGGTCATGAATTCAGGGACAGGAGATCGAGCCCCGCATCAGGCTCTGCCTTGGGCTTGGAACATGCTTAAGATTCTTTGTCTCACTCTTCTGTTGCCCCTCCCCACCTCTAAAAAAGAATAATAAGAAGAAATAAAAGCATATGATATATCTCTCATAAGTTTAAGGTATACATTTTGCTTAATGAGAAAGAATAATGAGTACATTCTAGGACAATATAGTAAAACATCTAGGTCATATGCATATGTATATTAAGTAAAATATCTAGGTGTAACTTTTTACACTTGGCTTCCTGAAATACTTGAAAGCAGCATACAAGGCCCAATGTGATCAGAGTGCACTCTTAGGAAAAACATTAGTTCTTCTAGCACAGTATCTCAGTATTCCTTTTCTTTTTTTGAAATATGATTCCCTAAAGAAGTGATGTTAAGTTAAACCTGACAGGAATAAAACTCTCTAGAAAAGACCTGTTACCTTTGCTAATGTGGAGGAAGTAAGAAGAGGCTTTCTCCATTTGTACTCATCCCCCACCTCACCGCCAACTCTGCTTTGAACAGGACTAACACACATCCTGGTCTATACTTTCCTGCCTTCCTTTTGGGACATCAGGATGCCTATGCAGCACTCTGCTATTTCACACCACAGCACAAGGCTGCCATCTACAGAACCATTTAATCCATTCAGCACTACCCAGGAAAAGCGAGAATCACCTTTAAAAAATGCTGCCTTCTGTAGAGCTGACAAAGGAGCCTACCAGTGAAGAATATATTTCTGCCTCGACACACCAGGTTTCATTCTCTGTTTGGGATATGTACTGATGACTACCAAAAAGGGGACACCGAGGCAGCACCCCATGCTGTGGTTGCTGGCCACCCAAGAAAACAACAAGGGTTTGAAAAGCATCACAAATAACGTAAGACTTTTAAGCCGAGCAACTTTTCTTCACTGTACTTCCTGTTTTTATCACAGGGGCAGACAGGAAGATACAGTGGCAAGTCCACTGATATGGAGTGATTTTCCTAACTCTCCATAGGACGGCCTCTTCTTAGAGGTATATAATAATACAACTATTAAAAACATGAAATACCCAAAGATGTTTAACTCAGCATCTGCTCTAACTTCCTTTGTCCTGCCCTCTCCTTTCTCTTCCCATCTTAAGTATGATCATGTGACTCAAACAAACAACTACATTGCCATTGATTAGGCTCCCTCTAATCATTTATATTTCATTACCACTTATATAAGTAGGGGATACAAACCATCCATCTGTCGTGAGAAAATGCAAAGGATAAATAGCCTTGACTGGGACCACTCATTTCAACCACCACTGACTGGTCATCTCGAGCAAAGGACAAGAAGAAACAGGCATGCTCCTTCTCTGGGTCACAGTTCAAAGGACTCCGAATGCAGAACTTCTTGTTCCCACAATCTGAAGCGCTGAACTAGAAAAATGACAGTGGGGGAAAAAAGTCTTAATTACCAACCAAGAGTTCATTTCACAATGATAAAAGAGCCACTACCTTGAAGTACAAGTATTAACAAGAATATCTTTTCATAATGGAGATTCAAAGAAGGAAACGAAGGACACATCCCAAAATTAGAAATGATGAGAGCAGTAGTTAGGTTGTGAACTTTTAAACTTAATTAATTTTAATTAAAATTTGGAAGGCACATTAGTTGGACTCTAATGTGCATGACTATTAAAGTCTCTTTAATACTCAAAATATTTCACATTAATTATGTTCCGGAGCAAAGTTTCTAGTAAATTTTGAAAAACATCTTAGAGAATATTTAAGTCCCCACTGACATTCCTGCCTAAAGGATATCCTTGAGTTTTTAGAATAGACTTTTAAAAGGCAAACAGGCCAACTCTTAGCAAGTTTTTGTATTGAGATCCTGGACTCTGCTTCTAGAATTCAGGTTCAAATTTGATATTAAAATAATATAAGAAAAAGTGATTATTCCTATATATACCACCACTGCAAATAATAGTAATAACAATTTAGCGGAGGAGAATCAGGAACAATCTACAATGATTTAACTCAGAGCTGCTTGTTATGGCAAAAAAGAAGAGTATCAAAAATTGTCAGCTCTAGGGACGCCAGGATGGCTCAGTGGTTGAGGGTCTGCCTTTGGCTCAGGGTGTGATCCCAGAGTCCCAGGATCAAGTACCGCACTGAGCTCCCTGCATGGAGCCTGCTTCTCCCTCTGCCTGTGTCTCTGCCTCTCTCTCTCTCTCTGTCCCTCATGAATAAATAAATAAAATCTTTAAAAAAAATATCAGCTCTACAATTTGACAGAGCAAATATGCAGTCATCTTGTTAGAAGGTGCTGCAACAGTATATTTCAACAGAGAAATGAAGTAGATCTAATGAGAACTGTATCAAAAAATTTCTCATTTCTTCTACTCTACCAACACTGCTGGCCACTAAATGTGTGGCGGGTTTTCCCACATTAACCAGTTTTGCAACTCTCTGTGGACACCAATAGTGTGTCCTACATTACAATTCTGTTCTTACACAATCTACCTGAAGTTAGGGTCCAATCCTACAAGTTAGGGGCTCAGTCCCACAAGACTGCTCATTTCAGAGGCCAATCACAAGTTCCAGGTTCCCACTAGAGGAGAATGGAGGTTGCCATGACCCTCTCCTCAAGTTTGATAATGTACTAGGATGGTTCACAGAACTCGGGAAAACAGCTTTCTTATTAGACTACCAGTGTTTTTTTTTTTTTTAAGATTTTATTTTTTATTTGAGAGAGAGTGAGAGGGAGAGTGTACATAAGCACCCAGGAGAGGGATGAAGGAAGAGAGAGAGAAAGAATCTCAAGCAGACTCCTCGCTGAGCACAAAGCCAGAGGCAGGGCTCAATCTCACAACCCTGAGATAATGACCAAGCCAAAATCAAAAGTCCAATGCTTAACCAACCAAGTTGGTTAACCATCCAAGTACGCCAAGATTACCAGTGTATTATTAAAAAATGCAACCCAGGAACAGCCAGATGGAAGAGGAGCACAGAGCAAGGTATGCAGGAAGGGGTATGGAGCCTCCATGCCCTCTCTAAGGCACCATCCTCCTAGCACCTCCATGTATTCAACAACAACCTGGGAGCTCTCTGAACCCCAAACTTTTGGGATTTTTATAGAGGATTCATCATGGAGGCATGATGGATTACTGACTCAATTTTCAGCTCCTCTCTCATCTCTGGAAAATTGGGAGTGGGGTAAAAAGTTCCCATTTCTAAGCATGGCTTGGTCTTTCTGGTGACCTGTCCTGATCCAGGAGCCTACCCAGAGTTACTCGTTAGAACAAAAAGCATTCCTATCACTCAAGAAATTACAAGGGATTTGGGAGCTCTGATTCAGGTGCTGGGGTCAAAGGCCAAATATTAGCAGGTACCGCAGCAGAGACCAACATATATACTTCTTATTATTTCATAGGAACATAAAGAAAAGTCACAGTAGAGTGTAAAGAACAAGCCACTTGGATTTTAGTCTCTGCTCTCTCCTTTACTCTATCATGTCTGCTAAAGAACTTATTGTCTCTCTTCTATACCATCAACTACACAACAGGGACTGAACTCTGAGGTCTCTTCTAGCTCTACAAATGCTATAATCTCATAACTCTGAATAAACCTTTTATATCAGAGACTACAAACTTGGTGCAGAGATACCACAAAAGCTCTGAGAGCAAATGCCTTTCATGTGAATATATAGAAAGATAATTTCGTCAATAGAGTCCTACCCAGAAGCTCTGTTCCAAAGTGACTGTTTACTCCCCTGAAGCAGCTTTGAAATTAAACATTAAGACTAAGTAAACTGAAGAGTGCCTGGCAGGCTCCGTTGGTGGAGAAGCATACAACTCTTGGTCTTAGGGCTGTGAGTTCAAGGCCCGTGTTGGTTGTAGAGATTACTTAAAAATAAAATCTTAAAAAAAAGAGAAACTAAATAAAAGATCTAATTGTATGTTCAAAAATGTAACATTTATAATAATGCAGTTAAATATAACCATCAAATATTGCAAAATGTAGAAAGAAAATAAAATGAGACATACACAGGAGTGCAAGTGCTTTACCTAGTCTTCCCTACAAGAACAAAGGGTTATAAAAAGACAAAAAAAAAAAAAAAAAAAAAAAAAAACAAGGAAAAGAAAAAAGTAACTAATATTTACAGAATTTCTATTAAGTGCAAAGCAGTTAGAAACCTTATATTCATGAAATTGTTTAATCTTCATAATGATACTAAAAGCTTGATTTTATTTCTCACTTTATAGGTGAAGAAACAGACTTTGAGAATTAAGTAGCTTGTCCAAAGTCACACAGAAAGTACAAAAGTCAGGATTCAGACCCAAGTGTGTTCTTTCAACTACAATAACTTGCCATAAAACACTTTCCATTATCCACTTCTGAATTAATAAGTCTAACTTATCAGAATTTCTTTCGGTAAAACCTTCCTAATGTTTCCAGTATGTATTACCCTTTACAGGATATGTTTTTTCAGTCATCATTTCTCTGAACCAGAGGGCCTAAACAGAATTCCAGTTGATGAGTTTGCAAAAAAGAGTTTCTGTAGTTCAGCACATAGAATCCCCAGTACTCATTGGCCTTAATGAATCAGATTTAAGAGTTACATCACTATTTCAAGATTCTCCTCCAAATCTTGTTTAAATATAGTTTAAGCTATAAACTTCCTCTCCACGTTTGATATTTAGCTGTATAGACCGTGTGTGAATGTCATAACCACACCTGGAGCATGCAAGGTCTTGCATTCCCTTTATTCTGACCTGTAAGTCATAATAATGTTGCAATGAAGACTTCCTTCAGATTTCCTGCACGGGTCCCAAAAACTTACTACCACAACCCAGTACAGCTACTTCTCTACATACTTCACCAGGCAGAGAACCACAATTTCCAAAGACCCTGTTATTATGTACTGCATTTGGTGAAACCATAAAAATGTTACTTACTGATTTGGTTAAATGGGAGACCGGAGGTAATGTCGACAAAGGGGCTATTGTAGCTTCAGGCGTTGTAAAAGGCAGTGCGTTTGGTTGTGAAATTATAGGACCAGGAATCTTCACCCAGTAGGTTTTATACTTCTCAACAACTGTGACTCTGAAATGCAATACTAATGAGATCAAACAGAACCCTAATTGTGGCCCATAATAATGAAAATTTTAAAAATATGGAAAAAAGAAAAAGAATAAAGTGGCGACACACAACTTAATACTACCTAACAGTACAACTAATTTTGTCTAAGGCAAACCTCTAATGACTCTTCACCTCATCACTAAAATGACTTTTACTGCCCTTGCTCTCTTGCTCGCTCTTAATTTCTTCTCTTTCTTCTCCTCATCTTTGTCTGTTCTTTGGGCATATTCAGAGTCCGGAATGCCAGATCTAAGGACTGCACAGATTTCTATTCCCTAATATATAAAGAACATACTACTACAACCCATTTCATAGTGTGCAGTTCCAATTATTCCACAAGGTCTGTGTAGTAAGCAGCTATAGGAAGAAGCTATATAGGGGCTGCATAAAAAACCATCAGCACTTCCTGGAGTCGCAGTCCCTTTCCACATTCCACACAACACACAGGTGCAGAGCTGTGTTACTGTGTGCTGGGACCTGTGTACAAAGTGAGACAAAAAACAGACATGCCAGGAGAGCGATTCTCACTAACATATGTCTCTAACATCACTCAGGAATCCTTAGACTGCTTTATGACATCCTCCTTCCTCTTTCACATAGGATTAAGGGTGAAGGAATTCTAATTTTACTGAATTTCCTAATTCTGTAGGCATGCAGCATCTTACTTTTCTGGAAAACTAATCTGTAAGTTGTAACGCTATAAAAAAGTCATCCAAATTTCAGGATTTTTTTCATATTCTCATTAAGACAAGAGCAAATCTAAAAAATTTATTAGTCTAGACACCATATGTAGACTCAAGTGTTAATTTATATCCTTTGTGTGATGGCACTGCAACACTTCATTTACTCAACAAATATCTATTACATGCCTTTTGGGTGCCAGGTCCTGTGCTAGGTGGAAAAAAATCGAAGAAAAACCAAAATGACCACTTATCTCACTAAGGTGGTGTCATTAGTACACCAAACCTCTCCTGTACAGGCAAATATCTAATAGGTATCAAAAATGATTCAGATCATTTTTGTTTCAATTTTACTAGTTGCAGATTTGTAAGCTCCCCTACTCACAGAAACTTTACATGATTCGGAGCATTGCTTAGAGCATTCCAGTAGACTTTAACTTTTGTTTTCTTGGATGGACTCGTGTGACTCACAGCATATCCCTGAAATAAAAAAGAGAAGAACTACCAGTCAGTCACTCAATAGTTGAGCATGGCTGGAACTACTATCATTTTGCAAAGTAATCCATCATTGCATGAGGCCAAAACCCTGGTAAGGACTGTTTTAGTTAGAATAGGGACTCAAGTACTCAACAAATACATGTTGGCTAGCTGACACCAGATTAGCAGCTGGCTTTGTGAATAAATTAGAATAAATTTAAGGACTGTAGAGTTATGAACGCCGGGTATGTTAATGCTATATAGAACTTGTTCATTATTTCATTTATACAATAAATATATATTCCTTCCATTAATAGGAAGAATGCAGAAAAGTCATCCAAGGAAAAAATTCCTGCCTCCACATACATAGCATTACATTTTGGGAATTCTTTTCCCTTGAAAGGTCTCATTTCCCATCTTCCTTCACCTGGCAAATTCCTACTCATTCTTTGAAGCCTGATGGGGAGATTTCCTCCTCCAAGAAGCTCTCTCTCAATTCCCTCCAGTCTGTGTGTGACATCCCCTGCTATGCTTCCCACCCATCCTGTGTGTTTTTTTTTTAATTTTTATTTATTTATGATAGTCACACAGAGAGAGAGAGAGAGGCAGAGACATAGGCAGAGGGAGAAGCAGGCTCCATGCACCTGGAGCCCGACGTGGGATTCGATCCCGGGTCTGCAGGATCGCGCCCTGGGCCAAAGGCAGGCGCCAAACCGCTGCGCCACCCAGGGATCCCGTCCTGTGTGTTTCTAATCTAAGTCTAGTTATGTGTTCTACTTGTGTATCTGTCCTATATCCTTATGTTCCATACATCATATGTCCATATGTTCTACCTATGTGTAATGCTCAGAGCTCAGAACAAGAATAAGTCTTGTTCATCACCATATCCCTTTGCACCAGGAGAGTTCCTGGTATAATAAATGTTTACTGGGATTCCCTGGATGGCGCAGCGGTTTAGCGCCTGCCTTTGGCCCAGGGCGTGATCCTGGAGACCCGGGATCGAGTCCCGCGTCGGGCTCCCGGTGCATGGAGCCTGCTTCTCCCTCTGCCTGTGTCTCTGCCTCTCTCTCTCTCTCTCTCTCTCTGTGACTATCATAAATAAATAAATTTTTTAAAAAAATTTAATAAATGTTTACTAAATGAATGAATGAATGAATGACAAAAATTAGACCACTGTCCCACTCTAGAATCCTATCTTCAATACTAACACTTTTTAAAATCAACATAAAAGTCAGTATTATATAATACATCAAAAGCTATAAACTCTTCAAGCTACTGCCTTTTCTAGGATGCTGATGTGTAAAAATATATCGCATATAGGAAAACTGGAGCCAAAGCTTGATCATTGTGAATCTATTTAGATGTCTGCAATAATGGGTAATGTCATTGTTCATCTTACAACCACCACCCTGTAGTGAAAAGATCCACAGAAATTGACAGATTCCAGTTTCAGACACAACACAAACCTGTACATCTTCACAGGTCAGAAGCTGTGACACTTGACTGTCAATCAATGTGAAGGAGCCAATAGGAGGGCCACTCAAATCCTCAGCATTCCGTGCTTCTAAGAGAAAGCCTCTAAATGGTGGCCCTGACAAGGTTACTGAGAAACAAACAAAAAAATAGCTTAAGAGGTTTAGCAACATCCCCAAAAGGAAACTGTTCAAGAGGGCAGCTCACAATTAGAATCTGGCATACATATACAAAACTACTCCAGGAGAGAAAATGGTAGAAATTATCTTACAGACAAAGAAGGTCTAAACTGTGCTCCACAGGACATTCACTCCATGAGATGTTAATAGCCATTCCACAGGGAAAAAAGGTAGGTGATAGTCAGAGAGCTATCCATGGGGCCGAATTAGTTTGAAAAATGCTGAATAAAAGTAAATACTTGTTTTTTTACTGAAAACCCCTAAAGCCTTTAACATCCTACTATGCAGGACCAAACTCTAGAAGTACATTATATATAACACACAGAGTATTCCAAACTTATTTTTCCATACACTCTTTTCATCAGTTTGTTAATATTCTGCACTTCTAGAGTTGCAGAAAATAGATCATAAAACACTGTAATAGATACACCTTTAAGAGTCAGCCCACATTTCACCAGAAAAACTGGAAAAACACAAAAGTTTACACTGTACCAAGAAGCATAAGGGTTTATTACACCTAAACCAGACAAAATAAACATCATTTTCCTCTTCTATTGAGTTAATAGTACTGTTTAAAAAGATCTATTAACTGGGCAGCCCCTTTGGCACAGCGGTTTAGTGCCGCCTGCAGCCCAGGGTGTGATCCTAGGGACCCAGGATCGAGTCCCACGTCGGGCTCCCTGCATGGAGCCTGCTTCTCCCTCTGCCTGTGTCTCTGCCTGTCTCTCTCTCTCTCTCTCTCTCTGTTGCTCATGAATAAATAAATAAAATCTTAAAAAAAAAAAGAAGTAAAATCTATTTTAAAAATAATTTTTAGGGATCCCTGGGTGGCGCAGCGGTTTGGCGCCTGCCTTTGGCCCAGGGCGCGATCCTGGAGACCCGGGATCGAATCCCACGTCGGGCTCCCGGTGCATGGAGCCTGCTTCTCCCTCTGCCTATGTCTCTGCCTCTCTCTCTCTCTCTCTCTCACTGTGTGCCTATCATAAATAAATAAAAAAAAAAAGTCCTTAAAAAAAAAAAAAAAAGAATTTAAAAAAAAAAAATAATAATTTTTAAAAAAGACCTATTAGCTAATGATAAAAACGTACTTAAAACCTACTCTGACTGGGGAGCCGATATACCACTTAAGTAATACAGTCATCTGTAATCGTTAAGCACAAAATGAGAAGCCTAAGATGGTGGTATCTTACATAAAACAGGTGAACAGATTTAAATGAAACTATATAAATCCCTCAGTAACAAACATTCAATGTACAGGAAAAGAGTGAAAGTCAAAACACAAATAGTTAATCCTGGCACAGTACCTTCAATCTGATCTCCTCGTCTGAACGTCATCTGACCCACTGAAATGTTGTGAACAGGATCAGAGTGTGCAGTATGACCATGTTCAGGAACCATTCCATGGCATGACCTTCCTACTTTTCCGCTGGGATAATTAGCCACAGAACTAACGTACAGCACAAGTAGGAAGGTAGCAAGGGTAAATCCAAGAACTGCCATCTCAAAAAGAAGATTAAAAACATATTATTTTCATACACAATTAAAATATAAAGTTTTTGTACTACAGAATAGTAATTCTAGATGACTGCTTATTTCAATAGACAGCTAACCCTCTTTTCAAAATAAAAAGAATATGATACGTGAATTTGAATCTGGATTTGAATCTTGGCTCTACCAATTACCAATTAGGAGACCTTAACCAAATCACCTATGCCTCTACTTCCTTATCTGAAAAATTAGGAAACTAACACCCTCTTTTCAAGTTGTTTTAATAAAATGAAGATACAAAAAAATAAAGATAAAACCCAAAGTCTGACAAGGAAGATAATAATGTTAGCTTTCATTAGCATGATTTGGAAATAATAAACTAGTCCTAGTGCTTAGTTCACTAAAGGCAAAAGTTTCTATTCCACTTTATCCTAGGAAGCTCAAAGAACAAATAAGAAATGGTTCTTCTGGAAACATTTAAATACCATCATCTAAAACAAGTCTCTGATTGACTTCTCCCAAATTACTATCAAATTAATCATGATGACAGGGCAGATAATTTAATTTGCAATACTGAAAACTAAGGAAAACAGAGAACCAATTGTAAGAAACAATATTTCTATTTCCCATTGCCCAGGTACTTCTGAATTAAGGAACACAATTGTCAGTCCAAGTAATTTTCTTCTCTTGTCCAGTTTACCTGCCTCTTACCATGTGCCTAACAGAAAACCAGCTACTTACATACTACATACATACACACTTACTAGCTTACAAGCCAGCTAAGGGAAGTCCCCACCTTCACTTCACTTGGTGCTTAAATTCAGAACCTGCAAGTCACAGCATATAAGAAGGCTAGAGGAAGACAGCAGGGACATGTTACATAGCAGTAAAAAAGGGTGTGCTCGTGGGGAGATTGCAGAAAGGCAGAACCCAAGAGGCAGCTCATTCTCCATAAAAATGGAGTTAGACAAAATAAAAGCACCCTTAGAATCACTAAAATAAATTATCCTTTTACAGTCATATAAATTATAAACCCCCACACTGAACCAAAACTAAACTACAGGAATTCCTGCTAGCTACCAGAAATTATGCTGGGGGCTACACATTTCAAACAGCCCTGTACCTTCCACCAGTAGCTATCAAGTAGATAGCATAGGGTTCACGTACTACATACCCCTATCTTTTATCAAACATCAAAGCTAGGTAGTTTTTCCCATTTAAGGATGAGCAAATAGAACAAATAAATCAAGAGCATCTGAAAAAAATCTCTAACATAAGAGAAGCACAAAAGTTCTCTATAGAGTCATAAAAACATAACTGAAAATGGTTCATTACTATACAAAACAATACTTAGGAAAATAACTGTCTTGAACATTTGCAGTAATACATAGCAATTATTTCTCAATAAAACTGGGAGAAAAAAAGAAAAGGAATATTAAAGAATGGAGCAGAGGGAGAATTTTTCTACTCAAACATGGCTTTCATGTGCTTTTTGTCAGGGACATACATGCTTTTAGGACAAGGCAAGATCTGCTGGAGAGGATCAAGGTCATGGTTTTAACCACATGATCTTAGCCAAATTAATATGAAGATTAAATGCAGTAATGTGCCACTCAACTAAAGGATGGTATAGGGGAAGAGTCAGTCCAGTTTAGCAAATATTTATTTGGCATTGACTTACTGTCAGGTGAAAGGGAAGCAAGACGTGAATTCTAGTCTCCACTCTACATTGCATAGCAGAATGACGTCAATCCAGTTACTTAATCTCTGTCTCAGCTTCTTCGTTTGTGAAACAGAGTAGATGAACCAGAATAAATTCATGCCTAACATTGTGATTTTTAAGAAAGTCAAACGGGACTGGGGCTCCTGGGTGGCTCAGTCAGTTAAGTGTCTGCCTTCCACTCAGGTCATGATCTCCCGGTCTTGGGATGGATTCCTGCCTTGGTCTCTCTGCTTAGTGGGGAGTCTGCTTCTCCCTCTCCCTTGCCCTCTGTAATCTCTTTCACTCTTGCTTTCTCTCAAATAAATAAAGTCTTTTTAAAAAAATAAACAAGAGGGATCCCTGGGTGGCGCAGCGGTTTGGCACCTGCCTTTGGCCCAGGGCGCGATCCTGGAAACCCGGGATCGAATCCCACATCGGGCTCCCGGTGCATGGAGCCTGCTTCTCCCTCTGCCTATGTCTCTGCTTCTCTCTCTCTCTGTGTGTGTGTGTGACTATCATAAATAAATAAAAAAAAATTAAAAAAATAAATAAACAAGCAAAATTTTAAAATTTAAAAAAACAAGAAAGCCTAGTGGGAAAGGATATCAAGAATTTTCAGGGCAAAAAGTATAAGCCAGCTAAGGGAAGTGACTAAGGCACTATCACCGATCATTCACTAGGAAAATATAACGAACTTGGTCAGGGAGAGAAGTAAACCAGCAACTTCTTTGTCCTTGGTCAGATGTTGAGGATTTAGGGTGAAGCTCTATTTGCATTACAATGGCTACTCATGATTTTCCAGTTACTGATTTAAGGAACAGCCTTTTTTCAAAGTATTCATTAGCCAACCTATGCCAACAGATTGCATAGTTATGAAAGAGAATAAGAGTTATTCATGGAGACATTTAAGTTAAAAGTATGTAATGTGGGTAATGAACTATATTATATTCTGTTATGAAGTCTTCCTTCAAGCACTGAAAAACTCACACCAATTTTGTATAATTTTTTAAAGTTATATTCCCACTTAATGGAGATACAACACAGAAAATAAAAAGTATCGTAACTTGCATCTTGTCATCCCAGGACAAAGACAGACTGATTAGTTTAAAAAATTAAAAGAGAGGTTATCCTGATTCTCTAACTGAAATATTCTGAAACCTGATGATATTTACATAGTTTTCTTTCTTCCCTAAAAAATAAGCATTTAGTAAAAAAAAAAAAAAAGTATGATGACTGCTTATACCATATTCTACATACACCTCTCACAAAGATAAAACTTCAAAACAAATGTATTCTTTATTATTTAAATACCAAATTCCTATACTTGCATGAATATTTAATTATTATTGTGATTGTGGACCACAGAGGCAAGTGATATTGATCAAGATATTTTATTAAAGCAAAGTAAAATTTATATAAAATGAGAAAAATCCAATGGAAAACATTTAGATGTAAGAAAATCATTAGAGGGATCCCTGGGTGGCACAGCGGTTTGGCGCCTGCCTTTGGCCCAGGGTGCGATCCTAGAGACCTGGGATCGAATCCCACGTCGGGCTCCCGGTGCATGGAGCCTGCTTCTCCCTCTGCCTGTGTCTCTGCCTCTCTCTGTGTGTGTGTGTGTGTGACTATCATAAATAAATAAAAATTAAAAAAAAAGAAAATCATTAGAATAAGAGCTCAATATTAAGAATTTTTTTTAAGATTTTATTTATTTATTCATGAGAGACAGAGGGAGAGTGGCAGAGACACAGGTAGAGGGAGAAGCAGGCTCCATGCAGGGAGCCCAACATGGGACTCGATCCCGGGTCTCCAGGATCCCGTGTTGGGCTGAAAGCAATGCTAAATCGCTAAGCTACTCAGGCTGCTTAAGAATTTTTCGATAAATTAGTCATTAAATGTCTTTATTGTGTCATTCCAAGAACATGTGAGAAAAAAGAAATGGAGGAAAGCCTATCTCTTAAAACCATGTCAGATGATTAAGCTAGCAAATAACTAATTAAGTCTAGTTATACTGCAATCAAGCTCTAGCTCTCATTGTTAGTTATTCATCTTAAATTAAGGCATCAAAAAGTTCAAAAGTTAACATGCACACAAAAACTGTGGGACCTCAACCCAGTGACACCCACTCTACATCACCCAAGATATGAGTATAAGCACAAAGTAAGAGTCTTCATCAATGCACAGCGATGAAGAATTAGTTGTTAAAAAACCAAAAACTTAATCACAAGGGTTCACTATAAAATATTTAATATTTGGAAAACGTTGATTTGATTGCTTTTTGTATTGGGGGGGGTTTTATACATACCAAATTTATGTAATTTTTTTTACCACACTCAAATAAGAAACATAAGAAATATATTTACATTATGACCCAACAAACATTTCAAGAAAATTATTTACCTTTACCACATGGTATAAATTCATACATTTTCCATTTCTTCCTTTTTTTAAAAAAAGTTGGTTTTATCTATTCTACTGAATCATTATTATACAACCTATCAATGGATTTCTTTTTTTTTAAGATTTTTTCATTTATTTATTCATGAGAGACACAGAGAGGCAGAGACACAGGCAGGGGGAGAAGCAGGCCCCACTCAGGGAGCCTGAGGCAGGACCCGACCCCAGGTCCCCAAGACCACACCCCGGGCTGCAGGCGGCGCTAAACCACTGAGCCACCGGGGCTGCCCCCTATCAAAGGATCTTAACCTATAGTTTGAAAAATACTACCTTAGAGCATATATAGACCATGAAGTTTCAGCCTTTATTCAAGCTCTAAATTAAGAGTATCAAGGATTTCAATTAAAAAAAAAAAAGGAGGGGATCCCTGGGTGGCTCAGGGGTTTAGCACCTGCCTTTGACCCAGGGCGTGATCCTGCAGTCCCAAAATTGAGTCTCACGTCGGGCTTCTGAATGGAGCCTACTTTTCCTTCTGCCTGTGTCTCTGCCTCTCTCTCTCATGAATAAATAATAAAATAAAATCTTTTTTTTTTTTAAAGGAGAGTTCTCAGAACTAAAGAAAAATAAGCCAAGTAACAGGGAAATAAAAATTTCTCTATTTTGGAGATAGGAGATAAATTTATTCAATGAAAATCTTATTCTCTCTTATTCCATTTGTGAACTAAACAAAAACTTCAAGTATGGTTAATAAATGAGTATTCTCATGGTGACCTTCTGCATGGAGAAGGTCATGCAGAAAAAAATTTAATCATAACATAAAAATACTGCAATCCCTAAAGCATTTAAACATTCCTTTCAGAATCTCCATCAACTATACTCCACAAGGTTCAAAGTAAATAACTACTTCTTACTC